AAGGGGGGAGAGGGAGGAGGGAGGGAGGTTTTGGTGATGGGACATAATAATCAACTACATTTTATATTGATAAAATAAAAATAATAAAATAATAATAATAATAATAATAAAAAAAGAAAAGCAAATCGTGGCTGATAAAGGTCTTCAGGTCAAAGGCACTTTAAGGCTAATAAGAAAGAAGTATACTACACATTTGTGAGGAAAACTCTAAACGGTCTTAAACATTTTCAGCCTTTAAAGGTAACAGAGGCCAAACCAGGGTGCAAGATAAGAGAGTAGTCAAAAAATAAAAATAAAAATAATAACCTCCCATTTCAAAGAGAAGAACTTTGGTTGAGCTATAAGCCTTCACCAAATCCAGCCAAGTTGGGCCCTCTTCCACACACATGAAAATGTCTGATACAGACATTTAATAATATAGAAAAAACACTATTACTTGGTATATATTTTATGAGCAACTAACATTTCAATGGTTTTTTTAGTAACTCTCATTCTCAATATATTTATTTCCCTTTCCTTCTTATTCCATTTCCTTCCTCAAATAGCACAGGAATCTTTTACAAAGAAAAGGGAAAATACCTAAAGTGATGGTGGTTATTGAGGGGGTATGTGCTTAACGTTTAGCAGAATATTTCATCAGACGCAAAACAGTTATCAATGTTCACCTTAAACTACTAGCGCCCACAGTACCCAACACACCAGCTAGTATATAACTCAACAAAATGTTAAATGTTTTTTCCCCTCATTTCATTCAATTTTATGTAAACAAGTTATAACAAACTCAGTTTTTCACCATACAGATTTATTTTGAAAAGGTATCTTGAAAATTCTCTTTAAGTAATCTAGTGGAACACAATAGCTATTGTAAAAGTGATTTTCTATCTTTTAAATTACATTGTTTATTTTATAATTTTATAATATATTTTTGAGGGGGCGGGGGGAATAGCTGGCCACTACGTATTTTTAAAGTTCAATAAATATATTTCTATTCAATTCAAAAAACTGAATAAAGTTCAATTTTTAAAGTTCTTTTTTTTTTAAATTTCAAAAATAATACCAAATGCTCTTTTAGGAAGCAGGATGTTATCTGTCATTCATGCAACTGCTGTTGGAGAAAACAGGAATGTGGGGATAAGGACAAGAGAAAAGAAAAAAGAGTATTTTCTTTACAAACTAAAAAACATTCTCTTAATACTTTTAAAAGCAAAAGTAGGGCTGGCCCCATGGCTCACTCGGGAGAGTGTGGCGCTGGTAGCACCAAGGCCGCGGGTTCGAATCCTATATAGGGATGGCCGGTGCGCTCACTGGCTGAGCGTGGTGCAGACCACACCATCCCAAGGGTTGTGATCCCCTTACTGGTCAGGAAAAAAAAAAAAAGCAAAAGTAGCAAAGCTGTGTAAAAAGTAAATGGACACAGATCATCTCAGACAAATAATTATAACCACTATAATAGTCCAAAGAAACACAAAAACTATGGCTGACTTCTAGCTTCACTGGTAATTTTTAAAACTTTATATTCACTTAGAGACATGATTCAGTTCTTTATGAGTATTTGATGTGAGTCACCTTATTCAAAGGTGCCTGTCCTTCTCTCGAAGTCTTACTTTACTACATTACAAGGGGGATCTCTATGTGGAGACAGATATACAATATAATATGTATTTTTTCTCATTGCTACTTTCATCTTAACTATATATAAAGTTAAACTCTAATCGGTGAGGAAGCATTTCTTCATATTTGTAACTGTAGATATGCAAAGTGAGAGCAGAATACAGTCCTTTAACACAGGACATATACTGTTAAAAATTGGATAAAAACCAAACTTACCAATATTTCTTTTCTTTTAAAAACCTAAACTACTGGACAAATTCCAAACTTTGAACAGATAAAAACTGCTAGCTTTCAAAACCTTCCCACCTCCTCTCCACCTACCTCCTAGTTTAGGCACAAAAGTAAAAGTCTAAAGCTTTTACTATGATTATTTCCTTGCCCAAATAGCATAATGAATAGAAAATGAAAATTAACAAAGAATCTCTCTTTAATCAAACTCTAGCCAGGCTCTCTTCTCAACTAGGCCTCAACCTAGGCCTGTGAAAACTATAGTCTCTCAACACAGATGATTTGTTCACCCCCTCCGTCCACATTAAAAGACTTAAACACTAATATAGTTACTTTTCCTTTAACTTATTTTTTATTGTAACATAGTTGATTGTACATATCTGCGGGGTACAGAGTTTAAAATCAATCAATACCTGTGTACACTATGGGATGCTCAAATAAGGATAAATAGTACACTCAATGTTATACAATATAATCATTTTTTGAATCCCTTTACCAACAGTTTCTGACAGCTCAAGTCTACATCCCTAAGCATGACTCTAGCACCCCTTAAAGTGTCTGCCTCTTAAAGCTCAAGTCTGAGGAAAGAATTTACTATTCACTGTAGCACCTGAAGATAGACCCTGACCACCCTCTTAGATCATTTACTAAAAAGGGCTTACAATTGTGAATCCTTCCTTTATCCCCTTGAGATGCATATGTATCTCCTACAATTCCTGAGTGTCTCTAGGACCTGAAAGCCATTCCTTCAAAATGTAATCATCAGGAAGGACAGAGTCTCTATCTCCCAGTCTCTGTAGGAGGACAGAATCCTAAGTTTGATAATTGCCAACTAGCAGACACAGCTGGCCTAATCAGCATATTTTACCAATTCTTTGTTATTTTTTACTATCCGGACTCTACTCCGCCTCTCCTCTCCCACCTCCCCTACTCCCTCATTCTCCCTTTAAAACACTCAGTCCAAAGTTGAGTTCAGTACATGCTGGACTCTCTTCCCTACTGCAACAGTATATTACTGATTAAAATCTGTCCTTACCACTTTAACTGGTGTCCAGCTTTGTTTATCTTGGACAATATGAATAAAGAAAAAAAGTTAAACATATCCTAATAAATAAAGATTTACTTATTTCATATAAGAAAGTTCCTTTAAAAAAGAAACTGAAGGTTTCAACTTTATAATTCTTTTTTTCTTTTTCTTTTAAATTTTTATTTTGTCGATATACAATGTGGTTGATTATTATGGCCCATTACCGAAACCTCCCTCCCTCCACCCTCTCCTCCCTCCCACCCAACAATGTCCTTTCCGTTTGCTTGTTGTAGGTTTCAACTTTATAATTCAAGGAGTCAACCAAAGCATCAACATCAAGCCCAAGTCTGTCATTTTTCAAATGATGAATTTAACATCAAAAGAGATTAAGTGACTTACCCAAGGTGATTTCAATGAGGGATTTGATTAGAAGGGGCTAAGCCAGGATGATTTTCTTCCTGACTCCAACATGAAAATATTCTTTCTGTATTCTCATTGGTAAATCAATATTCACCATTAATCATTCAAGTCACGATTAGTGATGAATATTTACTACCCTACTTAAAACACACGCATTTTTACAATTACACTGTACACCAACAACAGTAAACCAAGGAAAGTCTGTTTGGTGCAAGTACACATGAGATTGCATTTCACTCAGGGAACACTGTTTCAACAGTCCTAGGCAAATATATGAAGCACACTGGTGAGGAGAAACTGCTTTAACATACCAGCTAAGAAAAATCTCACACATAAATCCAAAGGAAGGCCAAATGATTTAGATAGTCTTAGAAACAACCAAAAGAAAAAGAAAAATAAATTAAAAACCCTTTTTCTGCACTTACCAGCAAAGCATTTGGAACAGAGATTCATAGTCTTGCTGGACCTGGGGCAAAAAAAAAAGAAAAGAAAGAAAGAAGAGCTAAAAAATTCTGTATCACTCTAGTCAAAACATAAGATGTTTGAAATGTAGGCAAAGAATTTCCTGTCCAGGCAACTGAACTAATAATCTAGTAAGTCCCTAGCCAGCCAGCCTTCCTCCTCACCAAACAAAACAAAAACAAACGAAACAACAAAAATAAAACACTTGTTTTTTATTTTTATTTTTTACCTGTGAGTTAGCCAATGCTTTCTTTTTAATTGTGATTAGCACCTCATATAGCAACAAGTTTAGAAATATTGTAATATGTCCAGAAAATGGCATAGGAGTCAATTTATCCCATATGATTACCATACTCCCTCTGTTCACAATGAAACATATATAGTACCACAAAGTTATCACTATAAACAAAAAAAATTTTTTTCTGTAACCTTCTCCTCATATACACACTCATTTATCTCCGTAACATCACTTCAACTTTTATCTCATTTTCTTCCCTCTCATTCTAGTCCTATTTCAGATCCTGGTCACATTATGACCTCGTTGTTTAAAATCCTTTCTTCAGGGCCGAGCCCGTGGTGCACTCAGCGCTCCCGCTGCAGGTTCGGATCCTATATAGGGATGACCAGTGCACTCACTGTGCTCACTGGCTGAGCGTGGTGCGGCCGGTCTCAAAAAGGACAAAAAAAAAATCCTTTCTTCAGATGTTCCCAATCAAATTATTTTTCATGTCCTTTCATTTGTTGTTAATAGCTACAATTCACTGAATACTAACTTGGATGGGCATTTAACATACATTATCTTATTAATCTTCTCAACATCCCTAAGATGGGTATTACCATATTGCTTTGCTTCTAAAATGCACTTTTAAAAAAAAATCACATTAGCATTTCTGTAACCAGGAAACACTTTACAATTGGCTACACATGATGAATAATTTAATGAGGAAATATTCCCCCCACTCTCCTCCAAAGTGTTATTAAATTGAAGGATCGTAGAAATCAAGGACATATTAAGTCTTATCACCATTTAACAGGTGAGCAGTTTGCCCAAGGTCACACAGCTAGGGAACTGCAGAGGAATATCTGACCTTGGGTCTGGGCTAACTCCAAAGGCCATCCTGCCATCCTTTCTTCACAAAACAGAACCTGGCTCTACACAGCAGCCCAAGGACTATACAGCGAGCAATCAATAATAACTTGTCAAATTTATCTCACTGCTATTTCCCTTTGTGATCTTCTCTCAAGTGGACTCATTCTTATAGCCCTTTCTTCCAAAAACTTCCTAGAATACTCAGTGTTGGGCAAGCTGCCCTATACACAGCTTCATTCCTGAGCCACTCCCCTCCCAATATCTGAGCCTTTGACCAGAGCTGCCCCTACAAATAGAATAAGCCAGCTTTCTTCTGCCCTCTTTACTACTGTCATAGCATGACAAAATGGGGGAAAGGGAGTCATTTTTTTTCTTTGCCAAAAGAGATACTATGTCAACAAATGGATATTTTTTTAGAATTCTGCTTAATACAAATACATCGAAGGCAATGAGGAAAATTAAGTATCAATAAAGGAATAAAAATGAATAAATGGATGAAGAGATGTTTTAATGGCAGCATCTGACATTTATTACAAGCCTACTATGTAGTAGGCATAATACCAGATGTGTTTATCCCCATTTTACCAATGAGGAAACAGAGGCTCCAAGCAGGTATATAACTTGCCAAAAATTATAGAGTTAGTAAATGAATAAATCTGGTCTAACTCCAAAGCCTGTGGTGTTTTCACCATGCCAAACTAGGGCCCCTGCCCCAATACAGAAGCTAAGGTGCACACACCAATCCCAAGCCAGCACTCTGGCAGTTTGTGAGAATGGTCCAATGACTAAAGATTTAGTGGACAGTAATCAAGTTAGCTCCCTGACAAAGTAAAACCTCTCATCTGGAGGAAGCACAACCCCTGCCTTCCCCTCCAAACACACATACATACACACAGAAAAACAACCCAAGAATCCCAGTCATTTCCGTTCCAACTCGAGGAAGAACGGAGGATAAAGGAATTCCTTTGTTACTAAAACTCTCCCTAGAGACACAGGTCCCTTGCTGATGCGGTCACTATCTGTTATCCATGCAGCGTAACAAAGACCCAAAGACAACTGGTATATCACTTTTGCTGCTGCCCACTATCCAGCAGAAATCATGGAAAGCCTGCAAAGAACAACTGAGAGCAGCCAGTTTTAACATCTGTACTTCACAAAGTTGATTTTTTTAAAAAAAGGCAAAATAACATTTTTCTCTGAGTCCTCTTGATCTCTCTTCAGTTTATGTATTTAAAGTGCTCACTATACCTATATGTACCTGAAATAACATCCATTTTATATTGAGTAGGAATTTCAGCAACACGGTTATTAATCAGATTATGAAAGAAATAATATAGCTACTGATATTATTAATCAAAACAGAGATGTTTTAAATCTGAAATAAACCAGATTTGGGCTATAGAAGTAATGGTCACTGCTAAACAATGCCAACTTGGATCACATGGGTCAACGACACTGAATCCAAAGGAACTGGCAAAGGCTTCTGAGAACTTTGCTCCTTTCTCATGTTGAATATACGGAACTTGAAGCTGACCACAGGCACACAGCTGCAGACTACCTACAGAAAAGCAGAGCGATCTTGATGAACTGTAGAATGCTTCTTGAGCATCATATAACTCTTACCCTCATATTTTAGTAATTTGTGCATTATAAATGAGAATTCAATCAAGAAGAACATTAAGTTATTAAAATATCCATTAGGATTCTTCTAAAAATATGATTAATATCTTTATTGGTAAAAGATTGTGTTGTGTACACTTGGAGGATTCTTGTTTCATTATGAAAAAAACTTATTCTGCATTCTCAAATTGACTAATTGAATTGATATAGATAATATATAAAATGTGGATCTTTAAACACCTGGAAGGTATTTTCAACTGGGTTTTATTGTAAGTATAAGAAATTACTTTAGTGCGGCGGCGCTCCCGCCGAGGGTTCGGATCCCACATACAGACTGGTTCCCGCTCACTGGCTGAGCGAGGGGCGGGCACAGCACCGAGGGTTGTGATCCCGTTGCCAGTCCCGGTCCGGTACGGGCGCGACACTGAGGGTTGCGATCCGTTGCCGGACACGAAAAAAGACAAAAAAAAAAAAAAAGAAAGAAAGAAAAGCAGAGCGATCAATTTACATAGTCTTCAGACGGTAGATTTTTTTTTCTATGTGGCAGTATGAAAGGTAGATATGATTCTCTTTTGTCCCCACTGCTCCAATGAAACTACTCTCATTGAGATCTCCAATGGCTACCATCCTTCTAAAACCAAGGTGTAGTGGGTTGAATAACGGCTACCCAAAGATATCAAGTCCTAATCCTTGGAATTTGTAATCCCTGTAAATTACCTTATTTGGAAAAAGGTCTTTGCAGATTTATTTATTTATTTATCTGTTACATTAAAGATTTTGAGATGAGGCCATTATCCTGGATTTTCTAGGTGGGTCTTAAATGACATCACAAGTGTTCTTGTGAGAGAGAGGTAAAGAGTTCTCATAAAAGAGAAGCAAAGGCAGTTTAGAGAGAGAGACAGAGGATGAGGCAAAGTGAAAAGGGAGGCACAGCTGGAGTTACATGGTCACAGCCCAGGAAAGCTGGGGCAGCCAGCAGAAACTGGAAGAGGCAAGAAATGGATTTTGCCTTAGAGTCCTTGGAGTGAAGGTAGCCCTGCCAGATTTTGGACTTCTAGCCTCCAGAACTTCAACAGAATAAATTTCTATTGTTTTAAACCACCAGATTTGTGGTAATTTCTTACAACAACCTCAGAAAACTAATACACAGAGGTTATGTTTCTGATCTCATCTTATTCCCTCTTAGCATCATGCAACCAGATCCATACCTCTTTCTAAAACATTCTCTATTTTTACTTCTTTGTTACTCAGGTCCTAGATGAGATCTACTCTGTTCCTCCACAGTTTCCTCTCACCCAACCTGCTCCCTATTAGCCACTTCTGTTAGCTCCTCCTCCACTGCCAAGACTATAATCTGGAGATCCCAGGACTCAGTCCTCATTACCTCCACTTACTTACTGATCTCAGGCAGTCCCATGGCATTAAATACAGCCATGTGTTGCTTAATGAAGGGGATACCTTCCAAGAAATGTATTGTTAGGCAGTTTTGTTGTTGTGTGAACATCACAGAGTTCACTTACACAAACCTAGATGGTAAGCCTACTACACACCTAGGCTATATGGTATAGTCATTAAAATCTTACGGGTTGTCTATGCAATACATCATTGACCAAAATGTCATTATGCAATGCATGACTATCTTACTCTTTACACTAAAGACTCACAAATATGTATCTTTAAGCTCAAAGCTTTTCGCCTGGCTCCTGGCTCATATATCTAACTGCCTATTCAACATCTCAACATGCAGCTCAAACTCAGTATTCAAATTAGAATTCTCAATATTACCCCCAAAATTTGCCTGACCCATCTTGGTAACACCTTCTTCCCAGTTGCTCGTATCAAAATCCTAGAAAGCACCTTTGATTCCCCTCTTTCCTGCAGTCTCCCATATACAACACTCAGCAAGATCCATTGGTTCTACCTCCAAATAGACCATAAATCTATGTACTTCTCCAGTGCTTCTACTCTCTGGCTACCATTAACTATCACCTGGGCCACTGTAAATGACTTTTTACTGGCCTCCCCATTCCCACTACTGACCTCTAACAAAGATTTTCCACATGGCAGCCAAAGGAATCTTCTAGAAACAAATTAGATCATGCTATTATTAATGCCAACCCACAACTTCCTACTGCATTTGGTATAAAATTCAAACTTTTCACCAAAGCCTGAAAAGTCCCCTTGTGATGTGACTTTGCCTACCTACCCTCTTCCTCTCTTACTATTTTGTCCCTCTCACTCACCACATTCCAACCACACTGGCCTTTTTACTGCTCCCAGAATGTGCTGTAGAG